CCTCCGTGAAGAACTCTGAGTAGTCAAGGCGAGGCTTTTCCAGGCCCTGGTCCCAGCGCCTCACCTTCCCCACAGGTCCTCGGGCATCTACGCTTTCCTGGGAACACAGGAGCAATACTTGACTCTACTGAAACACTAAGACTTGCCATCAACACAGGACCTCAGTGCTAGGAATTCTCTCTGCCCAGGGCCCCTCTTCCTCTTGAGCAGAGTCCAGACCTGCCCAGCCCTAGCCCTGAGCTGACTTACCTCTTGTTTTTTGTTTTTCTCCTGGGCAACATCTGACATGCCCTTTAGAACTTGCTTGGCCTGGTCATCCTGGGCTGAGTCCTTGCGCCTCCGTAGCCGCATCTTTCGAGCCAAGGGGTCCTTGGACCCACTCCCTACTTATGGAAGGTGTAAGTATCTGAGCCCTTGCAAATGGGTAAGCAGAGGCCCAGAGAAGTACCCTTGTTCCCACGCCAGATCACATCCTACTCACCAGCCGCTGCAGCAGCCACTGTGGCAGGGGAGGCACCAGCCAGCCTCAGCTGGTTCTGTAGTGAGAAGTCAATGTTGTACCACTCGGCAGTTCGGTCAGCAGGCTTGGGTGGCATTACCAGGCTGGGGTTTTCTCGAACGTCCAGGACCTGTTAGGTGAGCAGAGATGATGCTGGGCTGGGCGCTTACCTCCAACCCACATCATACCTGGCCTCTAACTGGTCTGTAGCTGGGACCAGGAACTAAGTTCTTACCCTGGCCACCCTGCAGCTGCCTATGGGGCTTCAGTGACACTACAGTGTGCTGAGAGAAGATGCTGTCCCCAGTGGCACCAGGGCATTGACACTAGAAGACTATTGCTAGGTCTCTCTCTCACTCCAAGACAAAGGCACATCCTCTGCTCCCCGCCCCCCCCCAAAAGATTTAATTATGTATACAGTGTTCTTTCTGCATGTATGCCTACAAGCCAGAAGAGGGCACCAGATCTCATTATAGAAGGTTGTGATTCACCATGTGGGTGATGGGATTTGAACTCAGGACCTCTGGAAGAACAGCCAGTGGTCTTAACCTCTGAGCCATCTCTCCTTTAATCCCACTGCTCAGGAGGCAAGGACAGGAGGTTCTCTGGAGTCCAAGGGAAGCCTGATCTACACAGTGAGCTCCATCTCTGTTGTCCCCACTGCCTGACCTCAATCTCTGTCAGGAAGTGGATGGCCTCTGGGAGGGTCCCCACCCGGTTCTTGTTCAGGACGAGTTTCTTCAGCTTTGGGCACCTGTAAAGACAGGGCCAGCCAGAGCTTAGGGGATATGGTGTTACAACTGGGGCCAGAGGAAGGGTGTCTTCTCAATTCTTTGTCTCAGAGCAAGGGATCCACATGATTCACATGAGGGTCTGATTTTTCAGAAGAAGACAGAAGGCACACACTTACATGGTGCTGGACCCCTTCCGACTTAGACCCTAATATTATACTCCTAAAAGGTGCCATGGGAAACCTACAATGGGTGTGGAATGGGATGGGGCCTCAACCCTGAACGCTAACCAGTCATTAGCAGGATGCAGGCAGATCACGAGCTCCCACCCCGGCCCAACCTGCCCAGCACCTGCAGAGACTCTCAGGAATCAGCTCCAGGTTGTTGTTAGCTGCCATAAATTCCTCCAGGCTGCTGAGCTTGCCAATGCCAGAAGGTAGCCCGTCGAAGTCCAGCTTGTTGGAGTTCAGGTACAGCTTCTTCAGTTTGGTCAGCTTGCAAATGGCTGACTGGAGGGGCAGAGCATCAGTTAGGGCAGAGCCCAGCACTCCCGCCCAGCCCACTCATGTCCCAGGCACAGGCTCACAGGCAGGGAGGTGAGCTGGTTACGAGACAGATTCAAGGTCTCCAGGTGAACCCACTGGTCAATGCACAGGGACAGCTCTGCAATCTGGTTGCTGCTGAGGTTGGGGGGGTGCAGGTTGGGGAGTGTGTACAGACACTCTGGCACCCTTGTCAAGTCGTTGCATGACAGGTCCACATCTGGAGCATTGGAGGGAGCATCAATTAGGATCCACACAGTAGCCACCAGAAGCAAGGCTCACTGTGAATCCCTAAGACCACCAGGTTGTGTGGTCTTAGGCAAGCCTCTTTGACCTTTAGTTTCTATGTTTCAGAAACTCCCTCATAGCAGGTGGTCTAGCGACAGAAACCCAGTCAGTGTAAATTGACCATGGTGTGTAGAACTGTAATCCCAGAAATTGAGAGGCTAAGAGAGGGAGACTGCTATGAATTCAAGGCCAACCTGTCTACACAGTGAGCACCAGCCAGACCAGGCAGCCAGAGTCACACAGCAAGGCCCTATCTAAAAAGCATTTTCACAGTAACCTAACGTATCTGTGAGATGGGATTGAAGAGGCAGGACTCTACCCCTGCATTCCCAAGGAAGCAGACAAGCTCAAACGGGTGAAAACTTAGGGGCTCCCAGACAGTCCAGACCTGAAAGGTTGCTCAGGCCCTCCAGGCTGGTGGGGAGGTTGCTCTGGGTGCGTTGAGTATTCCTCAGGTGCAGGGTCTGTAGGGCCATCATGGCTGGGAGCTGCCTGTGAGGAAAGAAGTGGTCACCCTAAGACAAATCCATTCAAGGGGTGTAGCTGGCGATGGGGTAGGGAGAAGGGCCTGACGTTCAGCAAGCACAAGCCAGCGCTGAGGCCTGAGGCCTCGGGTGGGGAGGGCCAGGACCCCTGGGACGCAAGGAGAAGCAAGGCACCTACCGGAGCTGTGCATGCAGCAGCGGGTTTCCATTCAGCACCAGTGTCTGAAGGTGCACGAGGCGGCGCATTTGAGGTGGAAGGCTCTCTAAGCGGTTCTCACTGAGGTCCAGGTACAGCAAGTCGGTAAGGTTGATGAACAGCTGGTTGGGGATGGAGTCGATGCTGTAGTGCAGAGGGAAAGGCTGGAAGTCAGCACTCCATCTCACCTGGCTCTGCACTGCCCACCCGTGCAGCCCCATCTCCCCAGCACCTGTTATGGCTGAGGTTGAGCACCAGCATGTTCTTGGCATTCTCCAGCTCCCGTGGGCATTCTGTCAACTGGTTATGACTCAAGTCCTAGGGAGCAGGGGCAAGGTCAGGCCAGGGTGGCCCACCTCATGCTTCTGCCATACTTAGGAATCTGGCAGAACACTGAACAGGAAGTGGTGAGCATTCAGGGACAGAGGGAAGCAGACCCAGAGTGGAAGGGGGCGAGTTAGGGAACGGATTCCATGAGTGATGTTGGCCCAGCACTGTGTATTTAAGGGATGATGATGGCCCCAGAGATTGCTGTCAGGAGTAAGGACTGAGTGACTGGGCATCCTAGGGGCCAGATAGGCAGGTAACCACTGACCAGAACCGAGAGATCATCCAGCTTGAAGATATCATCGGGGACTCCAGAGTTCTTCAGGCTGTTGGCCCGAGCTACAATGGCCTAGGTGTATAAGGAAAGAATTTGTGATCCTTACTCTCTGCCCTTGGGGAAAAACACAGGCCAGATGAGGAGCTTCTGCAGAAACTGGAGGCAGCCAGGCCTGAGGACTCTCCTACCTCTGACCTTTGCTCATACAGTCCATCTGGTGGGCTCATTCTAGCCTTCTGGTGTATGTCTATTCAAACTTAAAAACCCAATGCCAGTGTGCCCCAGAGCCCCACAGTGGCCCTCAGAGTTGTGGTACTGGGATGAAAGCCCAGGGCTTTGCATGTGACACTGTCACTGAACTGCGTCCCCACCTTTTTTTCCCTCCAGAGATAGGGTCTCACTATGTAACTCTAGCTGTCCTAGAACTAGCTCTGTAGACCAGGCTGGCCAGAGATCCTTCTGCCTCTGCCTCCCCAGTGCTGGGATTAAAGGCGTGCAAACCCACTTTTTTTTGTTTTGTTTTGAGACAGGGTTTCTCTGTGTAGCTTTGGAGCCTATCCTGGCACTCGCTCTGTATACCAAGCTGGCCTCGATCTCACAGAGATCTGCCTGCCTCTGCCTCCATCCAGACTGCTGGGATTAAAAGTGTGTACTACCACCGCCCAGCCACTTTTTATTTTTTGAGTCAATGTTTCCTTGGCTTGTCCAGAGGAGCTTGAACTCACTCTGTAGCCCAGGAGGGCTTGTACTTTCGATTTTATCTACTTTAGCTTCTCATAGCTGGGATTATAGTTTCTGTGCCACTGGCTCAGAAGAATGTTCTTTTCCTTTTATGTGTATGTGTGGATGCCTACATGCACACATGTGCACATGCGCAGCTCAATGCAGTCACTGCAGGCTAGTCATGGCCTTGACAGATTGGTGCAAGTCAGCTAACTCCCCTGTTATGTGATACTAGATAAGTCACTTCATCACTGTGTACCCCTGAAGCCTCACTTCATAGATTGTAGAAGTTTGAGCAGAAATGGAGACAGTGGTGTTCACTGCTGTTTCTGAGTCTCAATGTCTAATGCAGCCAGAGCCACATCAGCTGTTTTCCTATATGCACCCCACCTGCTGGAGTAAAGAGAAGACTTGTCCAAAGCTACTTAGCCAGTGTAGTAGTGTGGATGAGAATCGTCTCCATAGGCTTATATACTTGAATGCTTGGTCTCTAGTTGGTGGAACTCTTTGGGAAGCATTAGGAGGTGTGGTCTTGTTAGAGGAGGTGTAATACTGGGGGCAGGCTTTGAGGTTTCAAAAGCCCACACCATTCCAGTTCACCGTCTCTGCTTCGTGGTTGTCTCAACATGTGAGCTTTCAGCTATTGCTCAGCACCATACCTGCCTGCTGCCTTGCTCCCCGCCTTGACGGTCATGCACTCTAATCCATGGAGTTGGGAGCTCCCAAATGAAATGCTTTCTTTTATAAGCTGCCTTGGTCCTGTGCTTTGTCACAGTGATAGGAAAGTAACTAAGACAGCAAGTAAGTGGCAAGGCTCTGGTTTACAGTCAGGAAGTCCAGGTCCAGAGCCTGGCCCCTGAACATCTAGGGTTTCTGGCCCTGAAAAGACAGGGCTGGCAGGGGTCTGATTTTCAGGCCATCTTCCAGGCTCAGTCATACCAGCTACACTGCTGTCTGGGAGTGACTTCTGAAAAGTCACCTGCTTGTGTGGCCAAGGGTCTTTACCTGTGTGCTAGATGTCAGAGGCACATGACAAACAAACATGGACTAGCACCATGTTCTACCTGCAATGGCTGTGCTCACAACTGTCTGTAGTGGCCAACACTCACCCGAAGTGAAGGTAGACTGGACAGCTCCCCATGCAATGTAGTCAGGTTGTTGTGGCTCACAGACAGGTGCTCCTGGACAGGACAAGAATCAGAGGCTGAGGTGGGGACCTCAGATGTGCAGCCCTTGTCTGCCCTGTAACTGCACCATCTAGAAAGGCCATCTCAATAGTTCCCTCTCTTTTACACCCTCACCTTCCTTGTGTACCTACCAGGTCAGGTACACACTCCTACTCCATCATCAGCTTTGCCTGTTTTCTCTCTATGTGACTAATCATTTTGGCAGGGTGTGCCCACCTGGCCCAGTCCCAGTGACAGGAGCCCCCTCCCAGCTGCCCAGTGCCCTTACCAGCTTCTGCAGAGCCCCTAGTTCTTCAGGCAGGTAGCAGATTTCTGTGCGGTTCAGCTTTAGCCATCGCAGACTGGTCATAGCTTTAACATTCTCAGGGAAGTAGCCACCCTGGTGGGAGCAGTCAGAGTGAGGACGTGAGGGAGATGGGTGCCCCGGCTCCCAACACCTACTGTGGTCCTCATGGAGTCTAGAGGCCAGAGTCAACCCTTAGCCTCTTCACTTTGTGTTTCGACTTCTTACTCACAAAATGACACTAATGAAAGCCCCGAAGGACAAACATACCCAAATCTTTCTCTCCTGCTGGAGTCTGTGTCCCTGGGAGGCCACACAAACATCGTGTGTTTCAAGCAAAACCCAGCCCTCCACTGTGGTTAGCAGCACTCACATTGCCTTGCCTGGTGTTCCAGTTTGGGTTGTCTGCAGTGAGATTCCCCAACACTCCCCAGACTGTACTAAGGGCCCAGCTCCCCACCATTCCTGGCACAATCTCTCCATTCATCCCTCATATGTAATGCCCACTTTAGTACCACCTTGGCCATTTCTTTCTCTTTTGGTTTCCTGAGAAGGAGTTTCTCTGTGTAACCCTGGTGGTCCTTGAAGTCAGAGAACCGCCTGCCTCTGCCTCCTGAGTGCTGGGATTAAAGCACTCAGCGGCTAACCCTGGCCATTTTGACATCTGAGCAGCATGAAGTTTAATTGCCTTTTGTTATTGTCTCCTCCTCCTCCAGCCACAGAGACCCCCAGGTGAGGATGGTGGGAATGTGGACAGGAATAAGCAGTGACAACTGTGTACAAAGTCAACTGTGTGTCCACGTGCAGACAAACCCAGGAGGACCCACCCCACCTCTTTAGTGCCCCAACTCGATATCTAAAGGGATGCCAGGCCTCTGAGCTGCCCCTCCAGTCCAGCTTTCCTCTCCCCTGGGCCTGGTATCAGCCTGTCTCATTATTGTTATTATTATTATTATTATTTTCAAAACAGGGTTTTCCTGTGTAGCTATGGCTGTCCTGGAACTCTTCGTAGATCTGTGTGACCTCAATTCCTCTGCCTCCCAAGTGTTGGGATTAAAAGATTGTGCCCCCCCCCTCCCATAGCCTGCCTCTTTCTTGACTACTAAGAACTTGGGCTGCCGGTTGCAGGTCCCCTGGCCCATCAGTGTGGCAGCTGCGCAGACCACACCGCTGAGGACCTCGCACACCTGCAGACACTACATACTAACAGATCCCTTTCCATTCCACGCCTCCGAACCGGCTGGTCCTAAACCCCTGGGACAGAGGAACCCCGGGACTGTAAG